CTGAGCTAAATCCCCAGCCCCTACATACAGAGTTTTATAGCAGCTGATTGGTTCCCCATGGGTGTATTATTCTCTATTCTGTGAGAAATATTGTGGAGTTCTTGGGTAGTATTCTTAGTGCATTGTGTAGTGGACTGATTTAATAAATGTAAGGAAATTTTTACTCATAAATCTCTTAAGCAGAAAGTTTCTATGTTCTTAGTATAACTATACCCACAGTTATATTAATGCTTATTCTCTGGCTCTCACTTTTTAATTTTTTTAAAAAAAACTTAGTTTATTAGTCCATTTATGTAGTTCATAATGTTTACATTTCTTGTGGGAAATTGGTACATGTACATAACACATCTTAATTCCTTTTTAAAATCTCTTTTCCTTTCCCTCCATTTTCTCTCCCTCCATCTCTTGTTACCCTCCTGTTTGTGTACATGTTTTCAGCACATAATGTTTGCAATTCTTGAGGGAAGGTGGTACCTGCACATAATACATTCCAAGTCCTTTTTTTTTTTTTTTTTTAAAAAAAACCCTTATCTTTTCCCTCCCTTCCCTATCCTCCTTCTCTTGATTCCATTCCCCATGAAGTGTATTATTCCCCTAACTCATATGTTCTGTCTTTTATTTGCCTTTTATTTTTACTCTGGGTTTCTCATATAAGAGAAATTATGTGATATTTAAGCTTGTGTGTTTGGTTCTCGCTTCCATCTTACCTTCTGCCTTAGTCAGAGTTCTCCAGATAAACAGAGCCACCATAGGTATTTGCTTTTCCATATATCTAGCAATAGATTCATTATAAGCTAGTAATTCATGCAATTACACAAGCTAAGAACTTCTGTGCTCTGCCATCTGCAAGCTGGATGGTGAGAAGAGTTGGTGATGTAGAACCAGAGAACCAATGGTATCAATTCTAGTCTGGGTCTGTAGGACTAAGAATTAGGGCCACTGAATGCAGGAGAATATGGACGTCCCAACTCAAGCATTTGGCAGGCAGCACATTCAACTTTCTGCTTTATTTTTATTGTAATTAAGCTTTCAATAGATTAAGTGACATTTGCCTACACAGAGGAGAGTCAGAGGCCTTACTCAAGTCTGCAGTTCAAATACTAATCTGTTCTCAAAACATCTTCACAGATACACTCTCAAGATAATGCTTAACTAGCTATCTGGGCTTCCTTTGAACCAGTCAGCTGACGCTTAAAATTAGCTGTCACATCTTTCATATACCAAGGCTCCCTCTTCTCAACCCCTGCCTCTCTTTTTTTTTTTTCTTTAATTCATTCCTCTGCCTTTTTCAGTTAAACTGACCTTGGTTTTCCAACCCTGATACTCCTCCCTACTTTAGTTGTATTACCGCAGTTTCTGCCAGCTTTGTTTTTTAGGGTTGATTAGTAGACATTTTTAGAAAGGCAACATACATAGTAGTTAAGGTTCTAGGCTCCGGAACTCCAGACTACCTGAGTTTGGTCTTAGATAGGCTACTTGTTTGCCAGCTATTTCCAGGCATATGCATTTTCCTACAGATGTCTCTAATTTACCCTTCTTTATATCTGAGTAGTATTTCATCATAAATAGATATCACATTGTCTTTATCCATTCATCTGTTGATGGATATACAGCTACTTCAAGGATTTATCTATTATAAATTGTGCTGCCATAAATGGTTGCATGCATGTATCACTCACTGTACTATAAGGTCTTTAACTTTTTGAGGAAAATACCTAGAAGTGGAATAGCTGGGTCAAATGGAATTTCTACTTTTAGTTCTCTGATAAATCTCCACATTCAGTTCTGTAATGGTTGTACTAGTATACATTCCTACCAACAATATTAAAAAATCATATCTATCATGGTTGTGCATTAACATTTTTTCTTCACCTCAGCAGCTCTACCTTCAAAGACCTTGAAGGAAACAGCCTGAAGGATAGTGGACATGAGGAGAGTGACCAGACTGACAGTGAACATGATGTCCAGAGGAGCCTGTATTGCGATACTGCTGTTAACGATGTGCTGAATACCAGTGTAACCTCCATGGGATCTCAGATGCCCGATCATGGTAAGGGTTGGCTTATTGTAAGTTGCAACAGTAAATTCCAAATAATGCAGAAGTTTTGCAGGTACACCGTACTACTTTACTGTCACGAGTGCATCGTGAACGTGTTCACTGTATTCACACCTCAGCAGCATCTACAGGCTTTTCAGATGTCAGAACGCCCAGCCATATTCTTCTTCCTCCCCATGTGGATCCTTTAGGAGTGTTGAAAGTATGGCCATTTTACTCTCTTTAAAAATAACTGCACTGAACACATAGGAAATGAGTGGATGATTTCTCAGCAGGAATAAATGCCTGTTTTTGCTTTAGTGAATGAATTCAGTTGATCAGTTGAGCTACATGGAACACAGTTCCAAAGAGACAACAGGGATAGGTTTTATTTTTCTATCAGGCTGGTTAGCTTTACCCAGAGAGAGTCTTTGTCCTCTGATCACAGCTTGTGTTTTCTTTACTGAATATACAAAGCACCAAACGTCCTATATTGTGTCATTTTGTCTATTCCAAGCCCTTCTAGCTTCCAACAAATCCATGCTATTGGTCATATGGGAGCTCAAATATTCAGCTAATGTGAACAACACTTCAAAGCACATATCAGAAGTGGCATCCTCATATATGAAGGAGAATCTGTTTTTCTGAACTCAGCCTTAATGTTTCAGCAAGAAGCACTATTTAAAATTGTGCTAGGCATAAACCAGAGTATAAAGGCATAAGTAGAATTCAGCTAAGACAGAATGTTGAGATGGAGTTGGGAATAAATGTCACTTTCAATATTTTACTGATGCAAATATGCTATGCCAACAGCCTGTCCTTTCCAATTAAGAAATAAGAGTTCAACTTGGTATGTAGGCTCAGTAAAGCTTCAGAATGCTTGATTATGTCTTGAGGAAGCTAGACTCAAACTCGGCTGGAAACCCTACTGCTAAAAGTCTTCAAGATGAGAAAACAAAATATGGTGATTATATCCTGGTCTTCAACTGTTTCATTTTACTGTAAACATCACTAAGTGGTTTTGTTTGGGTTTTGTAAATGAATCAAAAGTGCATGATTCACAAAGCAAAATGTTTTCCACAGGAAAAATATTAATCACTGTAGATTCTATTGAATTGTCTAATTCATTCCCTCCTCAACAGACCCAAGTGTCAAAGTCTATAATGTACAGAGGTCACTACCAATTGTGCACTGCTGCCAATTGGTGAGTGGTGACATCTACAGAGATAATATACTCTCTGGGAAAACTAACTATGACTAAGGATGAAAAGAATTAAACATTTATACTGAAACAAAGACAATTTAATTCTCAAAGGATTAGCGGTATGTCACAGGATGCAGACTGATATGTATTATTTACTAGTTTTATGTCTCAAAAAAAGGTTTTTAATTTATATCAGAGAAGATTTTAGTTAGATGCTTTCTAAAGTGAAAACACTTCAGTAAAGAAGATAGTCATAATTAATTCTCACTTTATGTCTGGTTAGAAGAATATCTGTTTTAATTTTTTATTATATTTCTCTAGGAAAACAATATCAGTGGACTGTAGCTAGATTTTTGGAGTGTTTCTTAAAAGGGGGTGTAGTATATGCTGTGTAGATTGCACTATAATGGGAGTATTCTAAAGCAAATATGTGACAGTGAGAGCCTTTCTACATCTAGGATGATGATTTCACATATGCATACACATATACACAAATGAACAGACAGAAGCAGTGTTCCATTTTGGCAACGCCTTTACATGTTGTTTCTCATTTTCAATTTACACGTATCTTCATTGTATTCCAGCAGTAGCTACATATTAAGCCAATCCTTGGATTGGTTCTTTTCAAGTTGAGAAAGTGACTAAAATTGAGACATGAAGCGAATTTTGGTCTTGTTTACACATCATTCTCTACGTTGTGATATCCCTCGCGCTCGTTTTAAAGCTTTTGTAGATTCATAATTGTGTGTCCCAAATCAACTCTAGGTTTGTGCCACAGAGTGTCACTAATTATCTTGGGTTGATTACTACTATCTCAAAAATAAAAACTATTTTGACACTAAATATTTTATAGCATTTACAATCATAAACCCATATTTACATAAAGAGTGATCTCATACCGAGTGATCTTAAGGCACAGTGGTTGAAAGACAGTCATTTAGTGAATCCACCGTGCATGACCAGTATTGAACTTCTTAGGCTAAACTCTGGTTCTGAGTTTTCCTTTGGTTCTGGGAAACCCCTCCAGTGTTGACCAGATGTATGCAGTAGAATGTGTCTTACATCATTGCATTGAGAAGCTTGGATCATTTTGGATTTCATGTCTAGTTCTCCCTATAATATTGCTAATTTGCATATTAGTATTCCAGTTTTCTTTGCACATATGTAAGTGTATAAATTATGGGGAAATTTTAGGATTTTCAAATAAATATAACTTAGTATCTGGTTGTTTGTTTTTTTTTTTTTTTTTTTCCGGTACCGGGAATCAAACCCATGACCTTGTGCTTGCCAGGCAGGCACTGTGCCGCTAAGCTAAATCCCCAGCCCCATAACTTAGTATCTGTTAATGTTTCTCCTGAGCAAGAATATTCTGTTCAATGACACTGTACTCTGTTGCCAGTAGTTGAAATACAGGTATAGACTAGTTTTGCTCCTGCTTTCTGAGAGACACTTAGCCAATGTGCTTCTTCAAATATCCAAAAGTTTCCTTGGGATTTGTTCTTATAATTCTGCTATAGCAGATGAATGCTTAGTATGAAAACAAGGTTGCTTTCTAACTTGAGTAAGGGCCAAGTGTCTTAATTTTCATGATTCTTCTTTGAGAACTGTCCTAGGAATTGGAATCTAGAATCTCTGTAGTCAATGAAAAAGGAGAATATACAGGAGGAAACTCATGTGTTACTTAACTGGAGAATTTGGACTTTTTTCAGTATGAGGCATTGACCCATGGCCTTTGCACTGAGCTGTTTCCCCAGACCTTTTTATATTTTATTTTGAGATGGTGTGTTGCTAATTTGTCCGGGTTATTTTGCAATTTATAACCTTGCCTCAGCCTCTGAGAGTGCTTGATTTACAGAACTGGGCCATTGTATGCAGCTGATTTGTATTTTGACTCCCCAACCAAACACAATGGGCAATGGGGTCATGGTGGATGTAGGAGGGAATAAGAATCTGCTTTCTGGATCATTATCAATCCTGGTATCTCTCTTACCATGTCTATAATCAGGTTAATAGGTTGAGGAATTGACTGAACTGAAATTCCTCTTTGCCACCCCATCGAAATAGAAATTTATTTGTCATCCACTATGTCCATGAATTAAAATGTCTCAGATTGTTCCTGGTACTTTGTTTCATGTCATGCCCTCCCAGAAAAAGTGATAGAAAAAGTTTGTTTATTAAGACATATTTGTAATACATAATGGTTACATTTTTCTTGGGGAATTGTTAAGTATACATATCACATCTTGATCATTTTCCTGCCCTTCCCCCATCCTGTCCTCTCCTCTCCCTGTTTCTCAAATGTCCTTCCCATCTCAACTGAGTGTATCTCAATGTCTCCTACCTTTTATCTCTTTTATTTGCTCTTTAAATTATGTCTTGGATATAAGACCAACCAAGTGATATTTAACCTTCTGTGTCTGATTTATTTCATTTAATATTATTGTCAAGATCTATTCATTTTCATACAAATGAAATTTCCCTTCTTTATGGCTGAGTATACTATTCCCTTATAATATCACCAGCATTTGTTGTATTTTGGATTCTTAATGATAACTATTCTTACTGTGGTAAGTTAGACTCGCTGTGTTGCTTTGATTTCCATTTCTGTAATAGCTAAACATGTGTAACAGTTTTGCATGAACTTAGTCATTTCCACTTCTGCTTTTGAGAAGTTTCTATTCATTTGAATTACCCATTTATTTATTGGCTTTTATTTTTGAGTCTAACTTTTTATTGTCTTGAGAAAGAATGCTACTTTGTAGTTCATGCTTGCCTTCAACTGACTGTATAACGCAGGTTGGTCTTGAACTTGCTGCAGTTTTCCTGCTTCAGCCTCACCAGGTGAGGGCTCTAATATTTTTGAGTTCTTTAAATAATCTAGATATTAGTCATTTGTTTGAGGAATAGCTGACAAATGTGTTTTTCATTTTATAGGTTATCTCATCACTTTTGCTTTGCAAATGTTTTTAATTTGGTATAATCCCATTTGTTGTTTCTTGGTATTATATCTTGTGCAATTGAGGATTTTCTCCAAAAGTCCTTGTGTCTACCTATGTCTGAGAGTTTTGCCAAATTTTTGTTGCAGCAGTGGAGAAAAATTTCAATGTTTCTGTTTTTGTATCTAGGTCTTCAATCTAGTTTGATTTTCTTTTGGCACAGGGTGAGAAATGTAGGTATAGATTCATTCTTATGCATGTGGACAACCAATTTTCATAGCATAATTTGTTCAAGAGGCTATATTTTCTCCAGCGTATATTGCTGGTCCCTTATCAGATATCCAAGGCTGAGGGTGCTCGATGTTGTTTCTGCACCCTCTATTCTATGCTAGAGTTCAACATGTCCATTTTTGTACCATTAACATGCTGCTTTTATTACTGTTGCATTGTAGTGTAACCAGATGTACAGAATTATAATACCTCTTGTTTTGCCCTTGTTATTCAGGATTGTTTTCAGCATTTTGAATCTCTTCTAGTTAGATACAAATTTTAGGATTGATTTTTCTAGTTCTGTGAAAAATCCTTACTGTATTTTGATTAAAATGGCTTTAGTTCTACATATAAATTTTGGTATTATGGTCATTTTGCCAATGTTGATTCTGTCCCTCCAAGAACTAGGGCTGTCTTTCCATGTTCTAATGTCTTCTTCAGTCTGTTTTAGACTACTATGGCTTTCAATATAGAGGTCTTTCACTTTCTTGTTCAAGTTAATTCCTAGGTATTCAAATTTTGAGGCTTTTATGAATGTGATCATTTTCCTTATTTCTTTCATGGTGGATTCATTATCGGTGTTTCAGGAACACTATTGATTTGTG